GTTATGTCATCTTGTGTATTAATGATCGCTTGTTGTTTGCTATTATATTGGTTCTGTGTTCAAAGAATTCCCTTTAGTATCTCTTGTAAGGCTTTTAAAAAAAATTCCTTAATTTCTGCTTATCTGGAAATCTCTTAATTTCACCACCATAGTTGAAGGACAGTTTTGCTCAGTATATAATTCTTGGTTGGAAATTTTTCTCTTTCAGGGTTTTATATATACCATCCCATTGCCTTCTTGCTTATATGGTTTTTGCTAAGAAATCAGAGCTTATTCTTATTGGTTGTCCTTTGTAAGTAACTTTTCGTTTTTCCTGTGCCACTCTCAGGATTCTGTCTTTGTCTTTGGTTTTGATGAGTTTGATGATGCTATGTCTTGGTGATTTTCTTTTGGAGTCTGTCCTGTTTGAGGCTAATTGGACTTCCTGAATGGATATATTCTCATCTTTCATCATATCAAGGAACTTTTCTTACAACAAAGCTTGGGCAATTTTCTCAGTGTTTTTCTTTTTTCTCTTCTTGTTCTGGAATTCCAATTAAACATAAGTTATTCCTTTTGATGGTATTCCACATGTTAATATATCTTTGTTAATTGGTTTCCCTTTTCTTTGTTGAAGAGGGTCTGTGCAGTCTGTCTGCCTATTCCACCATCTTACCGGAACTCTCTGATGATCTTCTTAAGGGAAGAGTCTTGTTTCACTTAACTTTGAATTGTTAGCACACAATAAATATTTTTATCCTGAAGTAAATAGGTTGCATATTTTGTTAAATTTGCTTACCCTTGATTGAGAAAATAAGATAGTCACTTTTTAAAGTTCAAATACTTAAGCCACATTTGATAACCTTAATCTATACAACAACTGTTTGTTTGTGTTATTTTTTTCTTAAGAAAGAAGAGTTCTAGAGTCTATTTTGAGGCTTCTTTGAGAGCATTTTTTTTTCCTAAAAAAAAAAAAAACAAAACTATTTTATACCATAATTCCTTTAACTTTATGTCCCTACTTTTTAGCTATCAAATATTCCTTGTGAACTTCCAGTTCTGTGCCTTTTCTTGCCTTTAATTGAAGTCTCCTGTAAGAAACAGGTGGCAAAATAAAATTTTGAAGATTTAGCTAACCAGGAACGTATTTCCCCCATGTATTTTTGTTTTTTTTCAGTTTCAGTCACACTCAGAAGTGCTTGAGAATGATTCTATATCTTTGACATTTTCAGACATAGGATGAGCTATCTCCCCTGACATATCTCCTTTATTCACAATCCTGTCTGAAATTACAACTGCATTACTGATCTAACTACATTACTGATTGTATCTTCCAGGAGAGAAAAGATTTCAGCCTGATCTGTTTTATTTCCACACCTGTCTCCTGTTGCTTCCTTATAGATACTTATTTTTTTCTGATCAGTCCAATCTACTTAATTGCATTCGATTTTTTTTTTTGTATTTCTGTAATCTATACATCCAAATCAATATGAAATACCAGTATGTTTTATGTGTTACTATGCTTATATTTGTAATTTTTTATAGCAGGATAAAATGGCAATATTTCTTGAGGAAAATAATTTTAACATTTGCTAATGATACCATATACATTAAAATCTAGTGATACAGGTAAAATAAAATTGATTAATTAAAATGTTAAATATACTGTTGCCCTTCATGGAGGTAAAAAGAAAAAGTAGTAGCCAACACTTCTTGAGTACTTGCTGGCTGCCATATGTAGTAGCTCCCACTGTGATTTCATTGATTCCTCATAATTATGAGATTCCACCCCCCACACCCCCTATCACAGGAAAAGGGAAGTTAAATGACTTATTCAAGGTCATAGACAAGTATGTATCAGAGTTAGGAATTAAACTTAGACAGTTGATTTCTAGAAACTGAGCTATTATTATAAAATTAATAATAATATAAAAACAGGGATTAACAAATGGGTGTAGAAATCAAATCTGATAATATTTATAATGGTAATTAGCATCTGGAAAAAGTGTTAGTTACTGTAATAACTTCATCCTATGTTCTTGATTATTAAAAGTTTGACCTAGTTTTTAGATATTCTGTAAATTCATTGCAAAGTATTAAGGGAGATGACTGTAGTAGGAGAGGACACAGGCATGATGAGTTTGCTGTGTCCTCAGGCAATTTCCTTTCTGAGCCACAGTGATTTCAAAGTGGAATGTGTATTTCTGTATCACAAGCTCTGTAGGGCTGACCTTGAGGGAAGTCAAGATATTTAGTTATAATCCTGTTTCCATTGAAATTTTAATAAATGGGACATTTGAATACACCTTATGGAACTTCTTAAGGGTGGTTATTTTTTTAAAACCTAAACTTTAAATAAATCTAAAAAATTATCTCTAAGTTATTGTACCTAAGTAGGTCATAAAATTATCACCAAATTTATTTATGTGCCCTAAGTTTATATCTGAAGGGGCCCTAGTAATACAGTGGTTAAGCACTTGGCTACTAACCAAAAGGTCTGTGATTGGAATCCACCGGCTGCTCCATGGGAGAAAGATATGTCAGCCTGCTTCCATAAAGATTGCAGCCTTGGACATCCTATGGGGCAGTTCTGTTCTGTGTTATATAGTTGCTATTAGTTGGAATTCAAGAGGAAAGCAATGTTTTTTTTCTTCCCCCTAGAGTTTATATCTTAAAAAATAATAATAATTGTAATAATTGTCCTTGTCTTATGATGATATATACATATACATATATATACATATATATACCCAAATTTATTTTCTTGATTGTTCCTTACTGTTCATTTCATTGCATGTTATTACTTACACCATTTAATATGGATCTAAGTGTCTGTGTAAGAGTTATAACTGACTGATATCTGTATATTTTAAGTATCTTGAAATATTTGCCAGTGTTTGAGTTAGGTAGAGTTCATAAAGAAATCTGGAGTTCTTTCTGTTTCTGAATAATTACCCAATATGGCAAAACATTGGTAACCAGGGGCTGTAGCTATTAAATAGAGGTTGGTGCTTTTAGATGGGGCTCACCATTGCACTGGAGTTCTTATATTTCAGCAGTGTTTTCAATAAAGGCCAATGTTATTTGCTATTTTCTTATCAGGTTTACACTGTTGTGTTTTTTGAGTGGGAGCCTGACTCCTGTGGGTGGTTCAGTTTATGTCTCCTAGAATAAGGATCCTCAGTAAAACAGGGGTTATGCCATTTCATGAAAAGTAATTTCTTTCCAAAACAAATTAAATTTAACTTGCATCTTTTTATTAAAAAAAACACAAAAAACAAAAAAAACATGGATTGGTTTTTATATATGTTATATACAACATGAAAGGGAGGGATAGTCTACCTACACCCACTCCTTCCATATGCTACTCCAGAGAGCATCTGCCACATGGTTCATTTCTCCAATTTTCCCTGTTTTGCCATTGCTTGTTTCTACCGAGATATGGAGATGTTAATGAAAATAGGTACCATTTTGCTGTTATACTAGTATGGACTCTGGAGGATCTGAGAAAAGGTCAGGAGCAGCCATGTGGTATTCTCCATTGTGCTTGAGAATCTTCTAATTCCTCTGCTGGCCACTAGTCATTTGATATTAAGTTATATCCTTTCCTTGTTTAGTTGCTAAAGGACTAGGGTAGGCAACTATAGCCCACAGATTAAATCTGTCCAGCCACCTGTTTTTGAAATTAAAGTATTGTTGGGACACAGATACCTCCATACATTTACATATTTTCTCTGTCTACTTTCTTGTTGTAGCAGCAGAACACTTGAGTAGTAGTAAAATAGACCAAAGAAATCAAACAACATATTGCACTGGCAAATCTGCTACAAATGAACTCTTTAAAGTATTTAACAGCAAAGTAATCACTTTGAAGACTAAGGTGCACCTGACTTAAGCCATGGTATTTTCAGTAGCCTCATATGCATGTGAGAGCTGCACAATGAATAAGGAAGACCACAGAAAGATTGATGCATTCAAATTGTGGCATTGGTGGACTGCTAAAGAACAAACAGATCTGTTTTGGAGAAAGTGCAGACAAAATGCTCCTTCATCTCCCATACTTTCATCATGTTGTCAGAAAAGACCAATCCCTGGAGAAGGTTATCATGCTTGATAAAGTAGGTAAGAGGGAGACAACTTAGGTAAGATCGATAAAGTAGAGGGTCAACAAAAAGGGGAAGACCCTCAACAAATGGATTGGCGCTGTGACTGCAGCAATGGACTCAAGTGTGGAAACAGCTGTGAGAATGGTGTAGGACTTGGCAGTGTTTTGTTAATTGTACATAGGGTCCCTGTGAGTTGGAACCAACTTGATGGCACCTGACAACAACAACAAGAAAAACCATAAGCCTGAAAGTTTAAAATATTTGCTATCTGCCCTTATAGGAAAATTTTGCCAACTCATAGTGACCCCTCCTTGGCTTTTTGAGGCAGAGTCACTATGGAAGTAGATTGCCCCATCTTCCTTCTGGGGAGTGGCTGGTGGGTTTGAGCGACCAGCCTTCTGGTTAGCAGTCAACTGCGTTAGGCACTATGCCACCAGGACTCCCAATTCTTATTGCAGTGTAGTTTTATTTTGTTAGGGGTTAGAGAGAAGAAATGCTGGGATTTTGCTTCATTACACTGCTTTGATGTGGAAGTTACTATGCTGTTTATTTTTTAAAAAATCATATTATGGCACAATCATCATATTTCTTCTATTACACCAAAATTCTTGGAATTACAAAACATTTTGAGCTGGATTGTTGTTGTTGTTGTTATTTGCTCTCGAGTCGGACCTGATTCATAGCGATCCCTCCTTGAGTTTCCGAGGTGGTATCACTATGAAGTAGATTGCCCAACCTTTAGTTTATTTGAGATAGAATTTCTTATCCTACTAGGTTACATCTAAAAACAAATAACATTATTCACATTATTCCTCCTTAATGTCTTTTTTTCTTCTCAATACGAGTAAAGTAGCAATTTAATTACTTGAAGACTGTTTATTTTTCTAATTTTCTTTCTTTCTCATTTTTTCAAAGGTATAAACATTTTTGCATGACTTTGAACAACATTACAGAACATGAAGGTGGTATTGATAAGTTTTCCAAAGGCTATGAATCATTTGGCGTCCATAGATGTCCTGATGGTGGTTTATACTGCAAAGAATGGGCCCCTGGAGCAGAAGGAGTTTTTCTTACTGGAGATTTCAGTAAGTGTTTTTAAAGTATCAACATGAGTTGTAACATTTTATTTATCTATTTAAAATATAAGCATGTTATATTTCATTTATTTTTTAATATATTCAACTACATGGAGATCAATACTTACAAATAAATATCAGATTTATCCAAATGAGACAGAAAATATTAAGACTTTACCTACATATGGTACAGATGTTCCTGCTATAACGTGATACATATGTTCTTGAAAAACTTTATGCTTTGCAAAATTATGTACAAAATATAACCAGGTTATTTGTTAAAAATATTATTAGAATAGCCTATTCTAAACTTATCCAATTTTTGTTTGTTTTTTATCAAGCTCTGCAAAAATAATGGCAATCTTAGTAAAAATATTGGCATACTTAAATCTATACTTGCATTTCTATTGGCTTGCTGACTTCATATTTTCTGCATCTCTGTAGTCATAATCTCTTTTTTTAAGTCTTTGATAAAATTAGAAATCAAATCCAGAGGGTATCCTTCTTTATTCTATTTATTTTTCTTTTGTTTTTTTAAAATTTTCTTTTGAAACCACAGTAGGAAATATTTTCTCAGCCTTTCCATGGTATAATATTTAAAAATTGATTTTACCATCAAAAGGCTACATGTTATTTAATTCATTTATATGACATTCTGGAAAAGGCAAAACTATATAAATAGAAAATAGATTAGTGTTGCCAGGGTAAGGGGATAGAAGGAACACGAGGATCATGAAGTTTTTGGAGCATGAAAACGTTTTCTATCTTGATTATGGTGTTCATTATATCATTGTATTCATTTGCATACGTTATTCAATGCTGTAGAGATATTGTTGTTGTTGTTGTTATGTGCCATCAAGTCTGACCCGACTCATAGTGACCCCTCCTTGGGTTTCCAAGGCAGTATCACTACAGAAGTAGATTGCCCCATCTTCCTTCTGAGGAGTGGCTGGTAGGTTTGAACCGCCAGCCTTCTGGTTAGCAGTCAAGTGCCTTAGGCACTATGCTACCAGAGCTCCCATAGAGATATTAATTATTAAGATTAAAACACACACACACAAGGACAAAAAACAGAAACGAAAAAAGCTCTTCATGGCAAAGGTCTATTTTATTTAAAAGAAAAGAAATTACTGTTGCTTTCAAAAGGCAGTTAAATCTTGCAAAACGAAAATAATTTAGTCTTTGTTTTGCTCAAACTGAGTCCTATCTGCATTTGCCATCCACCTTTTAAAAACTACTTGGAAAGCAACTTCACTATAAACCCATTACCTATATTTTTCTTCATTTGAAAGAAAATGAAACAATCCTTTCTTTGCCTTTCAGTCATCTTTTAAAAACTAGCATTTTAAGCAGCTAGCAGCTGCTGCAGCAGCCTAGAAGAACAGTGGATATATAATGACATTCATCAGGACTGGAATGTTACCACCCCAAAGAGTATTTCTGTGCAAGGCAGAAACTACTTTAAAGGTTTAAGATGAATTTCTAAAACTTTGAATCATCTTCAATAAGGCAAAGACTCATTCTTTAGAAAATTAAATGTGATTTAAAATATACGTGGAGTTTTGAAACTAAATCATGTTTATTGCAAGTTGCTAAACAATTGAAGAGCACTCACTGCTTTCCAGTAGCTAGATGATAATAAGTAGAGAGAAAGGCAGTAAACTACACATGTCAATATAAAATAATTGGGCTCCTATTCACTATAACTGAAAACATTTCATTTCAAATTACTAAGTGTGGGAGCTAGACACTTTCCAAATAACACCGATGGACAAAATGAAAAAGTGAAGAAAAAACTCTGATTTCTAAGCTGATAGGAACCACAGATATTCTTGCTGGGGAGATTTTTACTCGTTTATGGCCTAAATTTGTCTATAATTTTTTTTTTTTTCTCCAGCTATGTAGTTGCCAAGATGTTTACAAAATCACAAAAGCTTTTACATTTCTTAATCCTACATGCTCGGAGACAGTGCTACCCAAAGTGTGTTCTGTGAGTCAACGTGGCTCTGTGTACTGTATTCAGTTCATGATATATTATCAGAAATTGGGAGTGAGCATTTAGAAACTTCAGTAGCAATTTGAGTAGTTTTGTTTCTGTTGAATCTAACGATGTTATTATAAAATTAGGGCTTGAATCTTTTTTTTTTTTCTTTCTAATTTTCTAATTTATATTATATTTTACATAAGTCTTGGTCTGTAGGAATCCTTGGGTGGTCCAAATGGTTAAGACCTTGGCTACCAACAGAAAGGTCGATGATTTGAATCTACCCAGAGGGCACCTTGGTAAAACAGCTTTTCAATATTTTCCAAAAAATCAGCCATTGAACCCTATGGAGCACAGTTCTACTCTGTCATACGTGGGGTCACCATGAGTTGGAATCAACTTGATAGCAGATGGTTTGGTTGTGGTTGGTTTGTAATAGATTGGAATAATAATAATATAAAAGGGAACTCATAGATAGTAATGCATAGATGGTTTGAGAAACACTCATCGGAAAATTAATAATCATTATTTATTAGTTTGGAAGTCTTATATGTTGTTGGGGCCGACTTGACGACACATAACAACAACAACAACATATGTTTGGAAAGTATAGTTTTCATGTCAGTCTCCTTTCCATTCTCCTCTTTCAGCAAATCTCTGGTGACTGTAGGAGATCTGGTGACAAAATGCCTAAGGCTTTTGACTGCTAACCAGAAGGCTGGTGGTTCAAACCCACCAGCCACTCCTCAGAAGGTATACTGGGCATCTACTTCCGTAGAGATACTGGAGAGTTTGGTGTCAGGATTGATGAAAGGGCTGGAGGGAGGCAGCACATCTGGCCTCGCAGGAATAGGCGTTGGGCTATTGATGGTGATTCTGTCTTCCTTTTGTGGGGTTAGAGGAGGTCAGAAGATGTGGCCTCCTTGCCCCCTTGGCACTACCCCTGTAGCAAATGATGTATTTTTATAATATAAAGAATAAACTATTTATATTTTTAAATAAGGCACACCTCATTTTATTGAGCATTGTCTTAATGCGTCTCACAGATACTTTTTTTTTTCCCCCAAATTGAAGGTTTATGGTAATCCTACATTGAGTAAGTCTATCAGCACTGTTTTTCCGATAGTATGTGCTCACTTTGTGTCTCTCTATCGTGTTTTGTTAATTCTCACAATATTTAAAACTTTTTCATAACTCTCTTGTACAGTTAGGAGACTATAGTATATTGTAAACATAACTTTTATATGCTCTGGGAAGCCAAAAAAATTGTGTGACTCGCTTTATTGTGATATCCATTTTGTTGCAGTGCTCTCAACTGAACTCATAATATCTCTAAAATTTGCCTGTATATTATATATCTTATAGTCTTTGTGTGTGGTGTGTACGTAGTGGGGAGGAGGTATACTTGGTAAGGTAGGGCAGTGTTATAGTCATAGACAATTGAGAAGGTTTATTTGGAATTTCTACTGACATCTGGATTCAAATCAGTTTCCTGGTACAAGACATTTTCAATTTCTTATAGGTCCTGTGTAAATACTTTTTTTTTTTTTTTCTTAATGTGGCTTCCCTTCTGTTTGGTTTATTGATCACTGTGGTGTGTCTATAAATCAAGTTTTTTGGGGTAGGTTGAGGTCTTTTTGATACTGATTATTTTGACAAATAGATAGGACATAGCAAGACACAAATAGAGGACTGTAGGGTGGTCAGTACTGATGGTGAGCAGTGGCCTCTTTCATGCATGTGAATCTAAAATAAGTAATCAGTAAATATGTGTTTTGTAAACTTATGTTAGCACTTCCTGTGACTTTCCAGTTTGGTGTTGATGATTTAAGTCCTCTTATCTGTTTTATTTGATCGAATGTTCCTTTTCAATGAAGTTGACACACAGTACAGCTTTAATTAAGTAATCTCAAGTTATTAGACCTACTGAACTTACTTATGCTTGTTAGGCTTATAGTAAATGATAATGACTGATCCTTACAGGATACTGAACATTAGTAATTGTTATTGTTGTTAGTTGTCAATGAGTTAATTCCAACTCATGGTGACCTCCTGTGTGCAGAGTAGAACTGCTCTATAGGGTATTCAAGGCTGTGACATTTCAGAAACCGATTGTCAGGCCTGTCTTCAGGGGCATCACTGGGTGTGTTTGGACTACCATCTTTTTGGCTGGTAATTGAATGCTTAACCATTTATGCCATCTAGGGATTCCTGGTAGTCGATTGATTACTCACTACTATGCTTACCCGAGTATGCTTCTCCTAGTTGCATTGTGTCCTTACAGGGAGCTAGATTCCCCTCCACTTCCTACCCCCAATCCTGTGTATGCCAATTATTCTCATTATAATTCTGTAATAAATTCAATATTATAAAAAGTGATGAGCTATTAATGTGACAGGAAAAATACGTAATTGAGGATTGGAGAACTCAATAAGGCTAGTTGGAAAAAATAATTGAGAAGAGAAACTGCAGAACATGACAAATCTAGTAGAGTTTTACATGGAGATTATTTTACATGCACTTTTAAGCTTTTATTACATTTTAATCCAAAGGAAATTAGAAATTTTAAATGTAACATTGTGGATGTGGTTCATGGAAGAAAGGCGATACAGAATTCTAATCAGAGGACCCTAACTCACTACCCACCAGCCACTCCCTGGAAGGAAGATGGGACAATCTACTTCCATAGCGATACTGCCTCGGAAACCCAAGGAGGGGTTGCTATGAGTCGGGTCCGACTGGACGGCACATAACAACAACAACAATAACTCACAAAAATGATTTTTGTCTTATATCAGAAGATGGGTGATTGTGTATTGGTATTGTATTGTAAGTTAAAATAAGATGTTTACTGTTTGTATATTTATTTTCTATCATTCCCTGGTTTAACCAATATTTTCAATTTATTTATCAATTTGTGGCCCCTGTTGTGCTGACTCAGAGAGCTTTATTATAATGCCAAATGGGATTATTTTTATAGAGAAGTACCTGTACCTCCTGGAATTTTAGGAGATTGCTGCTAGAA